CACCATAGTGACTGTTACTCAAATCCATCCCAGGCCAGTCCCCATGTGACAGAGTAGAAATGCTCCATAGGGTTTTCTAGGCTGTAACCTTTATGGGAGCAGATCACCAGGTCTTTCTCCCCCAAGCCACTGGGTGAGTTCAAACCTACAACCTTTCAGTTAGCAGCCAAGTACTTAACTGTTACACTACCTGGGCTCCTTATTTGTGTCATAGGGCATGAGAAATGAAAGCTATGTTTCACTAAATTATACAAAGCATCTGGGCATAATAAGTTACATATCACTGGGACCCACTAACAGACAGTAATACATAGGGAAAAGGGCATCCCACCTCTACCTCCACTTCCCAAACTTGGCTGTAGACCACTGGATCAGTTAGGATCCTGTCAGGAAAACAGAAACATTAGGTTTAAATGGAGGATATTTAATATAGGGATTAATACACAGTGTTAAAAAGCTAACAGGGCAAAAAGGAGCACAAAGATAACCCAGATATTTGTAACTACAGAAAGCAGCTACTACCTATATGACTAAGAGAACAAAATGGGATCACCAGAACCTAGGAACTCAGAGAAAGGATCAAACAGGACTGGTAGCTAGACTTCTAAGGAGAAATTCTAGGAATATAGTCCTGGGAGCAGCAAAAGATATGTTAGACTAGAGTCACTGCTGCTGATGGCATGACTGATAGGAACAGGAGCATCAAGAAGAAGTCCCTTCTTCCTAACTCTCACATTCCAACCTCTCCCTAGTGCTTCCTTTTGGCATGACCGAACAATGAGCCAGCAAGCAAGGGAGTCTGGGAAATGTAGCCCCAGCATCACAGAAGAGAATATAGATGGGTAGGCTAGGACTTAAGAAACAATAGGCATATGGCTAGACAACTCCTGTTCAACTTTGGCACTGATGTAAGTGGTGGTACTCAGTGAATCAGTGACAGCCACCAGTGGTAATTTTAGGGTTTACCGGTGAAATTAGATATGTTTGTGAGTAAGCATGAGACAGTCTCTGGGAAGTCCCAGACATTCTTGGTGGGGAAGTCTATTGGGGGTGGAAGTACTATAAAGCAGAGGGTGATGTCAAAAGCAAAATTTGGCTGATCATATCTTTATCTACAGACTGCTGAAGCCTGGAAAACTTAGAATTACATGTGTTTTTCTTAAATAAAATAAAAAACAAGCAAGCCAGACTTTTCTATGAGTCTAGTTTAATAAAATTATCATAATTATTATTGTGGATATCTGTTGTTTTGCCCAGTATTCTTTCTTCTAGTAAAAACATTCCAGTTTTCCTTTGGAGAACCACCTCTCCCAATTCTTGGTCCATGAAATTGATGACTTGATCATACCCTTCCCCCTTCCCTAGTCCAAGCAACCACTTGGCCACAGTAATGCGTTCAGGTTCAAGTATGGGCAACCGAAATCAGTACCAGGACTTCTGCTGGAACAATAAGAAAAAGAGCTATTCTCTTTCCAACAGGGCTGCTAGATGAGTAGAATGCAAGTTTAGGCTTTGTGGTCATACCTGGTAGGGAAAGCCTGCCTGAAATAAAATCACCACACAGATTTTTGAATGTGAAACTAATTTTCACTGTAAACTTTGACCTAAAACACAATAAAACTAAAAAAACAAAAACAAAAAACCAGGCCACAAGAAAGAACATGTAAGAGTTTAAGAGAAGACACATTTTTAATGACATTGAATGCTGGGATTCAACAATACTTGGAGCTAGACCTACTTCTAGACTTTTCAATTATATATGCCAATACATTTTCTTTTTTGACTAAGCCATTTTTTAATTGAAGTAAAATTCACATATCTTGTGTACATTTTAATGAATTTTGATAAAGGTTTTACCCTTTTAATTACCACTTCAGTCAAGAGATAGCATACTTACGTCGCATCAAAAATCCCTTGCATTCCCTTCCTGTCAATCCCTGCCCCCATCCCCATAGTCAACAATGGTTCTAATTTTTACCACCATAGATTAATTTTGCCTATTTTCAAACTACTGATTAATGGAAACATACAGAATAGGTTCTTTTGCGTCTGGCTTCTTTTGTTCAACATCACATCTTTGAAATTCATCTATGTTGAACTGTGTATTGGTAGTTCATTCTATTGTTGACTAGCATTACATTGTAAGGCTACCCTACAGTGAAATCTGTGAGAGCTGGTACTCAATGATGGTCTCAGTGAATTAGTGAAGGTAAGTAACAACAATATTACATATCTAGGTAAAATATATAAAATTGTGACAGTACTGTTTTATTAGGATGGTATTAAATGGATAAGTAAACTTTACCTTGTTGTTGGTGGGTGCTGTCGAGTTGATTCTGACTCATAGTGACCCTACAGGGCAGAGTAGAACTGTCCCATAGGGCTTCCTAGGCCGTAATCTTTAGGGGAGCAGATGGCCAGGTCTTTTCTTCTGCAGAGCTGCTGATGGGTTCAAACCATATTTCAGTTAGCAGCCAAGCCCTTAACCATTGTGCCACGAGGGTGTGCCTTCCCAGATGCAATCGTTTATAGCATGGACCTCCTCCTTTTAAAATTATGGTTACTGTAATTACTGGACTACTTATTATTTTACCTATTTTTATGAAACTGCTAACAAATCATTCAAACTAGTTACACTAGTTTTCTCATAAGAAAAATGAGAATAATCCTATTGGTAAGTATTTATAGAAAGACTTAAATTAATATTACCTCCATCATCCCTACATAGTATTAAGACAACCAAAGTCTTGCAGAAAACGGTCAGTTAGCAATATAGCAAATATAGAGATATTACTATGTCAAAATAAGTTCAAGAATACTAAAAATAAAACTCAAAAAGTGCTTAATGATTCTTAGTACAATTTATTTCATAAATATAATCCTTAAAAACAAGAGGTCTGAATCTTGTATTTCAAGTGGCAGATATATAAAAATGTAGTTTTATTAGCTTTGTTTTTTCTGAAAAGCAAAATCTTATGTAGTATAATGAAATGGCAAATTGTATAATCTTAGAAAATCGTAGTCCTACCAAAAATGATTATATGAAAACCATGTAAAATTATATAAAAACTTTTGAAATTATCTTATTTTAGGCTAACCTTTTTAAAATTAATTCGATAAACTGGTATTTACATTTGTAGGCTTATAAATTCTTTTGGTTTTGTTTTCAAGGTCAAATGAATTGATAGTCACTATTATTTTGAACATAATATGGTAACACACTTTAAGGATCTTAGAAATGTTAGACACAATTAGACAATTGTTTGAAGAATCCTGACCTTTTAATTATTTTATCAGCAACTGTAGTAACCTGTAGGTAAAACACAATGAAAGTGTTAAATTTGAAACTGAAATTTGGAGTTCAGCAGACATATAGGGTCTCTATGAGTCGGAATCAACTCGAGGGCAATGGTTTTGCTTTTTTTTTTGGCTTGAATCCTAGAGTACTTTAGTATCTGCTTCTAAATTCTTTAACCTCTCTGAATCTGTTTCCTCAAGTGCAAACCATGAATTACAATACCTTTCTAGAGTCCTGAAGATGGAATGACAGTGCACTACCTGGCACATTGTGAGGGCTGAATAAATGTTAGTTTCATTCTCAGTTGTCTCTGAGTGCCAACAAGCCTGATTTGACTTTGCGGGGAGACATTTTTTTCCACATAAGTAAGCATGTTTCTTGTCTCTTTCTAGCAACTCCCTCTAAAAGTAAAGTGTTAGCTCTAACGAAGTCAGTGATAACCAGTGAGCTATTTTAACTAAAAAATAAGCATAGACAGATTAATAAGTGAAAAAATATTTTAATGTAGTTTTAGGGGTTACTCTATTTTCACTAACAGATGATTGTTGTTTTCCACAGCTATATTATGTATATAGAAAATTACATTACAATGTTTTTAGATGGATTGGTCTGAAAATTGAACTAAAATACATTGACAGAATAAAATGAAAACATTCGAAATAGTGCAAAGTTGGGAAACCGATGTCAAGCAACAAACAGGAATTATACCGTATTCCATGATCAGAAACCTGATTAGCATAATTTGCCTTCAAGAATTAGATTCTCTGCCGAATGGAGGTAAAACGCAGCTTTCTAGAAATTAACAATGGTGAGAACAGCCGAGAACCTTGTTAAACCATTGCGACAATCAGAAGGTTTAAAGAGGCTTAAAATAAACCTCATCCAAGAGAGGATTTTCTTTTTGCATCACTCGCGCCTGCAATTCATGCAGGTCAAATTTTAAATGAGGAAACAGGTCATACAGTAGCGTTCAATGCGTTACTGACATGCACCACTAGACGTTTTCTCTTAAAAGCATTGCATGAAAATGTCCCATTCCACTCAAAATTCTGGAGATTCAATATCCGTTCCAAAACCCAAAAATCACTTTCAAACCATAATCACGGAGCATTCGTGATTCACGAAGGCCAGGACTACGAGGCAAGTACATTAGTGCACGAATCCACCCCACATTCTCCTGAAAATCAGCATATTTCAGTACGACCGAGAAGTGAACAAGCTGTTTAAAACTCATTTATAATTAAAAAACAAACTACATATTTCCAAATGGAATTCGAGACAACGAAGAGTGCTTTGATTTTAATTACGCAGTCGCCAAATTCTACAACTAACCCCTTCCCCTCCGCCCGCATCCTTTCCCTCCCTCTACACAACTCCCGAGCTGCTCCGCAGCCACGCCTCACTAGGCAAAGCTCGCACCAGCCAGGCAAGCTCCGAAGAGCTCGCCGTGAACGACTCTCTTTCTCGTGGCCACCCCTCCCACTAGAGAGGGCGCCCAATGACCGCTTTCTCCCGTACGCGTCGTCCCGCCTTCTAGTACCACTGAAGCCAATAGAAAGGGCGACCTGGAGACAGAGACCAATGAGAGCTAGGGGAGGACAACATATGCGGTGGTCGTGCCGCAGTGCAGTCTGGGCCTCCGCCTCTGTTACCCTGGAGCCGAAGCCGCCGCCTTCCTGAAGCTGTGTCCCCCACCCCCAGCTCTACGTTTAAACTTTCCACACCCGGGCAACCTTGGCGCCCTCCCTGCAGGATCGCAGCCTCCGCAGGAGTCAAGCTCCCGCTCTTTGGTTGGCAGACGTCTAGGCCCGGGCCAGGGGTTCGGCCCAATGTTGGACGGGAAGGAGGCGGGACGCCGCGTCGGCTCTGGTGAGGGCCGGCGCTGGTTGGGGGTGGGCTTTGGGGTGGGCGTGGAGTTTGTGGAAGAGTTGGGGGTGCTAGGAGAGGCTGGGGTTGGAGCGTAGGGGAGCCAGTGTTGGGACACTCTAGGCTGGGGAGCGTGTGAGTGGAGATGTTAAAGCGGGGAGGATGAAAGGATTAGGGATGGGGGAGGATTTGGGGACAGAGGAGGATAGGTGTTGGTGAGAAGAATCCTAAGGAAGTAAGTCTAGAGCCTTGTACCTGGGAGAGGGCCAGGAGGAGGGAGGCTGACCGACAATAGGGAATCTGGCGGTTAACAGGACGAAGGAGCCTGGGGAAGGTTGGTCTTTTGATGAGACCGGGAAGAGAAGGGAGTGCAGTGTAGAACAACCTAGAAAAGGAGTTAGAAGTTATTGAAAAGCTTGGAGGCCTGTGGCGACTTAGGATGGGAAGGGCCAAAGTAGGGGAAGGAGGCTCTGGGGTAATAGGTGATTAAGACTGTGATTAGAATGGAAAGGCATGTCTGCCCAGGCGGTGAATTTTTAATACATTCATCAGGGATGGGATGACAGGAGGAAAAATGGTTGGTAAAAAATGTGCCTTCTTGGCATAGGTGGAGTTGGAGTGGGTGCTCAGATCCTTGATGTTTTACCTTGGGAGGCCCAAGGACAGTGTTTAACATTAGTGAAGAGTATTGGCGGCCCAGTTCATCTAAATTTAAATCCTTCTTTTGTTCACTTTGTGGCCTTGAACAAATTACTAATTTACGTAGCGTCAATTTTTTTTCTTTTGGGAGTGGGAATAATAGATTTACTGTTGTGAGGATTAATTTTATTAAGATGTTCTTGCATGTACTAGAAGAGGTAAAAATATTGGACGGTTTGTTAAAGTGAATTAGGATGTGGTTGTGTGAGCTATTCATTGGGCTGCATTGAAGTGTTTTGAATTTGGATAAAATTACGTGCTAATTTCTCATCTTTTGGGTCATAGACTCCCCCTGAAAGTGTGAAGAAAGTTGGCTTCTCTCTAGGAAAGTACACTTAAACACGTACATATATTTATGCCCATCCTTTAACTTTAGGCTAAGAATTTTGGATTAAATGTCTCTTTGGGATAAAAGTCATTTAATGATTTTTTGAGGGAGTGGGGTCGGCTACCTGCAGTCTGGAAAAAGGTAGAATTGAAAAAGATAAGGTTCTGGAGATTCTTTTTTTTTCCCTTTCTGTTTCATTTTTAAGGAAGCATTGTTACTTTAATCTGTGTTTTTTCTAGTTGTAGTTCTACATTTGAATTTTATATTACTATTTTAGATATTTTACTTCCTGATTTTGTTGCATACTGACTTTGTTTACCCAAACACCTAATAGGAGATGATAGTTTTGATTCTCTGAATTGACAAAGTGTCATTTCAAATATTAAAAGTAATTAGTGACCTTGGAAAAGAAATTTTTATTCTTTTGTTGAACAAATCATGGAGCTGAGTTCTGTAAGACACAGTAGAAGCCCTTTATAGTACAGATGCTACCCTCTATCCTGGTTTTTCTGACTGTCATTCTTCATCTCTTGGGGTCTTTCTCCGCTGCCCACCATTTAATTATTGCTTCAGTCTTCAGCTGTCTTTTCACTTTATGTTCTTTTCTTGGCTGAGTTCATTCTCTACCTTGGCTTCTACCTCTTATACTTTATTAATGCAAACCGAAGTTCTCTCTTTGCCTTGAAACTGTTGGGTTAGCTCCAAACGCATAGCTAATTTTTGGTATTTCCACATAGATTTCCCACAGACATTCCAAACTAGTGTGTCCAATATTGTGCCCATTAGCTTTCCCCATTAAGCCTATCCTGTTGAATAGTACCATATCCACCCAACACACAAGCTTGAAACTTTGGAATTAATTCAGGCTTTTCTCTCTACATTTAATTCATCACCAAGTCCAGCTTATTTTATATTTCTGGAATCAATTCTGAACTGTTTATCTCTAGTTACGCTACCTTAGTTCAAACCGCTGTCATGTCTCCCTGGTATCAAGACCAGCTGGTTTTCTTTCTTTAGCCTTATTGCCCTCTAGTTCTTTGGATTGAAGTTGGATCTTTGTAAATGTCAGATCTGATCATTTTAATCCTGCTGAAGATTCCTTATTTGTTCTCAGCTAACTTCTTAGTGTGTGTCTTAGTCATCTAGTGCTGCTGTAACAGAAATACCACAAGTGGATGGCTTCAACAAAGAGAAATTTATTCTCTCACAGTTCAGCAGGCTACAAGTCCAAATTCAGGGCATTAGCTCCAGGGGAAGGCTTTCTTTCTTTGTTGGCTCTGGAGGAAGGTCCGTGTCTTCAGTCTTCCCTTGGTCGGGGAGCTTCTCTGCGCAGGAACCTCAGGTCCAAAGGACGCACTCTGCTCCTGGCACTGCTCTCTTGGTGGCATGAGGTTCCCGGTGTCTCTACTCACTTCTCTAATATCTCAAAAGAGATTGGCTTAAGACGCTATCCAATCTTGTAAACCTCATCAGTATAACCACCACTAATCTACTTATTAGATGATAGTGATTGAGTGTACAACACATAAGAAAATCACATTTGATTACAGAATGGTACACAATCATACAATACTGGGAATCATCACCCAGCCAAGTTGACAGATATTTCTGGGGGACACAATTCAATCCATGACAGTGTGACATAAAGATCCTTCTTCTAATAGTCTCTTGTAGCTGACCCAGCCTCACTTTTTATTACTTTATTACTACCTCCCAGCCAGTACAGTCATTCTCAGCCAGCATTGTCCAACAGAAATATAATGTGAGCCACATACATAATTTAAAAGTTTCTAGTTGCCACATAAAAAATACCAATAGGTGAAATTAATTTTAATATATTTTATTTAACCCAATATATCCAAAATTCTATTTCAACATATAATCAGTATGAAAAAGATTTTTAAAGATATTTTATGTTCTTTTGTATGTACTAAATTTTCAAAATTCCATGTGTGTTTTACACTTACAGCATATCCCAATTCTGACTAGCCAAATTTCAAGCACTCAGTGGTCACTGTATTGGACAGCATGGTTGTAAACTATTTGCGGTTTGACTATGTGCCACACTAATCTAATTCCTTTTACTTTTGCACATGCTGCTTCCTCTTACTAAAGTAGGGTCT